AACGATCACGCCCCGAACAAGGACCTCCTCTATTTCAGCCGCATTCCACCTTGAGATAGAGAAGGGACGTGTTGGACGAGTTTCACGAGCATAGCTCTTCCTCCATTGCCAGTGACACTGAACCGCAATGGAAGCGCTGCCGCAACTGCGATCGTGCTTTTCAAACAGCGTCACGTGGCAAATAATCGCGGAAGGTGGGGCTTCCAGATAAAGGTGTGGATCGCGAGTTGTCGCGCACTTTCAAGCCGCAAAAGGGGCGGGCGCGGCTTCAACGCTTGTCCTCCTGCCTACTTGGACACGGAACAGTTGAGCGTGCTTAATACCAGAGCGTGCCATTAAATTGATCTTAAACTAAAGGCAATGTTCATAGTGGTGGCCAAAGGAAGGGGAAATGTATCAACTATGATTGGAAGCATGCCCCCTAGAAGTGGAACGAGGCGTGTTTCCCTGTAGGGGGTGCGAAGCAGCTTAACGGGGCCCTACCCGCGGCGGCATGATGCCACCAAACGCCCTGCGGTGAAGTAGTTCATATGTCGACTTCTGAGCTGTTACCTGTTCATGAGTGGAAGCCGAAAAAGAGGGTCCCGTTTGCGTTTTCTTGACGGATTTCTCTGCTTTTTTTCGCCACTGGCGCACCACTGAGCATCGTCTCTCTAAACCCTTCTAGAAATTATCATAATCGCTGCCTTTAATTGGCCTAAGAGATCTGCGAAAAGTTGCTTATGAGGGGAAGTTATAAAAACTCGTAAGTGCACAAGAAGCGGAACCACTGAACGTTTTTTTCCAGGAATCGGACATTTGCAATAGCTCAAATACTTTTTAGAAAGAAAACACTCTTAAATTTTCAAAATACCGTCGCATGAAAAAGATATTGAAGAGCGATATTGCCGTTTCAATGAAGGGGTTTATAATAACCTCAAGGCTTAGTTTTTCAGTTCATAAAAAGGGGAGGTTTAGGAAATCGGAAACTTGGACTAGTGTTCTGAAATCATTGGAAATTTGAAAAATTTAGAAAACTAGTGTTCTGAAAGTAGAGCTCTCTGCGAGAATGCCTAAGTTTATGTGAAACTTTCTTTATTAAATGAGTAAAATTTCATGTGGCCTCGATTCAAGTCCCATAAAGCGCGCTGCATGTCAAAAGGCGCGATCCAACATCCCAGTGCCCATCACCACATTTTCGATGATAGCCCGTACAAGGATAGTGGGCATAATAATATGTAAAAAGGTAGGCTGATAAAAGGGGGGGTCGTATTGATGTCTTCTGAAAAGTAGGACTCCTAAAATTTCTGAAATCGGCACACGGTTAATCCTGCGCGGGGGTAGACTCCATTCGCGGCTGTACACGCCCACTGAATGGCTACGTCAACTGGTGGTCCCTTGCCGTCGGACTCTAACCCTTCAGCAGAGGTAAAGCAGTCTTAGTACGTTGCAGGACTACCGAGTGATTGATGCCGCATTACGAGAGATGGCTCCTCAGGAAGCCTATGACGCTTACCGTGATCGAATCTTCGAGCAGATTGCAGAGTAAGTGCTATTCAACTGACTTCAGTCCGGAGCGACTTCCAGCCCCTTGAGAGATTATCTTTCAGATTGTCGTCATTACACGAAGCTCGCCCATTTCAATTGCTCAATGGGATGCCTTCTGAAGAGGCACTTCCGCCACGATGGAGCCGCAGTAGTGCATTACTTTATGCTCTCAGCATCTTGGTAGGTTTATTTCACGAAAATACCGCAAAAGGCGGAAGTAGTGCAGTAGCCAAGAGGTGCTGCCGCATGCTGAAAATGGCTCATGGGGCTCTCTTTCCATGAATGACATTGCATGTTCTCAGTATCTTGGTAAGTTTATTTCACGAAAATAGCCGCAAAAGGCTGAGGTAGTGCAGTAGCCAAGAGGTGGCACTGTGGCATAGAGAAGGGGTACGTCTTGGCGAGAGATTCTGATGACAAGAACGTGAGAAAGGATGCCGATCGAAGAGATGTAGGCAAAGGTGTGGACTCCGATTCAAGGTATGCGCCATGTATGGGCGCGATATAAGCCTCGGTCACGCACATTGAAGTCCCAAAAATGTCACAACTTGGTTGCTTGAGAATCGTTATACCGTACAAGTGAACGGCACCATATCGCTCAGGTTTATGCAAAGTACAACTTCAATATGAATAGAAGAGTTTATTGGGTGGTCGTGTAACTGTTAGTGCAAACGCTCAATCACTACTGCAACTCTGAAAGGAGTGGGAACGCGTGGCGTATGCCACAATGAGTTTGCAAGGCAGCAAAGTTCTTGTAGGCAGCACTTTTCAATACTTAGATGTCTAGAGATCGATCCGCCTCCACCGGAAAGCACCACGTATTTGTCTTTCTTCTAAGATTATCAAAACATGAATATCGGGAAGTATGTTTGGCAACGTGCCAGCGAGGAAGGTTTGAGGCTCGTACAGTCTTTGGGAATACTACCCCAATTTAATTAAACCTTTCAATTCACACATTCCTCACCTGCCCTCAGGAGATACATGTAGGCGCCGGAAAACGGAATAGAAAACAGTATAAATGAAGTTCAGTGGTTTCGACAAGGGTGGTGTCATTCACATGGTCAATGGATTGAACCTGCCCATGTCAAATCCCCTCCCCTACCTCCCCCCCCCCGCCACCCCTCCTCAATCTCTCGATGTCACAAGAACGATAGAAAGCTCCATTAGAGCAAATTGTTCACATGACCCCCATAAATTATACGGACCAGACTACTTGGCGATGTTCCAAAGGAGCAGAATGTGTGACACATTCTGAGAAATTTGGTGTGCGATGTGCACTGTCTCCTCATCTGAACCATTACTTCATAAGAAAAGCATTTGACATCGATCAATATCTTTTTGGGATACGCAACGCCCTCTAATTCTATTCAGAATCTTGGTCAACTTTCGATTAACCCATAAAGGAAAGGAATTGCGGGGCCAGCCGATGTTCAAGTCAGTGTTTTTATCCTCCCAGACAAGTCTGGTACCAATTAACCGACCCCGGAGGGATGGAAGGCTTGGTTGGCCCGGGCGACTCACGACCCAGGATTTGATCCCCGGACCGCTCGCGTGGTAAGCGTAACCACTTGTCACTTACCACCCCTTAACTCATACGAATAATTATTTCTGCTTTATGCGCCGAAAGCATCGCGATTCACATTCCTTAAAGCAACAGTCCCAGCAGGGTGGGCGTGGTCGGAAACGACTGCAATCTCCTCGGCGGGATTCCGACCACGCCCACTTCAGCTCCCTGCCTAGCGCTTTCCAAAGGTGAGTTTTTGTTCAGTCACACTTCTACGTTCTTGACTAGGGGCTGAACAGCTCCGAAGTGGGATCAGGTCGAGGGGGATTGCAGGCGTTCCAACCACGCCCGCTCCTGCTGGGACTCTTGCTTTAACACATTCACGACGACGCCCCTTTTCCACTTTTCGGTCGCGTGGGACGGACGCGATTTTGTGGGCGCCGCCGCCTCACCACATAACCGCAGATTTTGTTTTGTAAATGAACAAAAACATGAATGTCACAAAATAATTTCTGCAATGTCCAATGCGTAAAGATTATCTAAACATATAACAGTAGGATTTCGATCAGAACGACAAATAGTGGTTACGAAAAGAGAGCATTTTTCACTTTTTCCATGTTGTTGGCAGCCATATGGGCGGCCATCGGCGTGAATGTGTTAAGGTAACTTCTGGCTAACTATCGATGCTGTTCCTTTTTAGACAACAACTGGCTACTCATACGCGGTGCCAGTAACTCCTCTTGGTCAGTTTTTGGCGATCGTCTACGGCTTGCTAGGAATTCCAGTGATGGTGCTCGCTGCCGTCGATATTGGTCGATTCCTTTCGCATATCGTGCTCGAACTTTACGCTAAAGTATGTCGAATTTCAACTGCTGTGTTTGTGTGGCTTGACAGGATTACCCGTAATAACTTCGTACTTCTTCAATGTCGAGTGTGGACTGCCGGGAAGTCATTACTTGCAACACCGGGCAATTAAATATGACGATTTACATCTCTTATCACGTGTCTGTTAAAACGTGAAGCTCAAATCTGCTTCCTTTACTGCGAAATTCTCCTTTTCCAAGTAAAGACCAAGAGAAAAGCGCAGAAGCAGCTGGTCCTGACTCATGAAAGAATTGTGAAGAACGCAGGCAACAACCGTCCTTCGCAAGATGTTTTCAAGTTCTCGTATCCATGCTAGAGGACTTGTGATTCGTGTAGTTGAGCACTAATGAAGAGCGAGGCGAACAATTTAGCGTCCCTGATACTGGTTCATTATAAGGGCTTATGGGGGCCGCATGTGCAGGTGCATGCCTATAGCAGATGGCGAGTATCCTGTGAGGGTCAAACGACCCCTAAAGATGAGTTTTTTAGATAATCCCGGCATTTTGACCTAATTGAGAAAAAGCTGAGCAGTCATAGGGTTATCACCTCCGAGACAGCAATTCTCGAGTTGACCGATCATGGACCGGGACAGAGGAAGGGGTTCTTGGGAAAAAAATCATTTGTAGGCACTACGATGGCGGCAAGAGGTGAACCAAAAAGGCTGGTTTTCCAGCCTTTGTTGATGGGTTTGACGCATGACCTCTTCAATTTTTCGACTAGAATTAATTTTTCAGAATTGTCCAGAAGTTTGCCCAAGGGAGGGGTAGGACCCCTGGATTACGAATATCACACTTGCTCGGAGCTAAATGTTTGGCGTCTCCGCTGCAGGGCCAAGCTTAGGCGAATATCGTCTGATTTCGTTATCAAGTGCTCTCCAATTCTTTCTACAGGTAATTAATTATAAGCAAGCATGCTGAACTACCGATGTCACGAGTCCTACTAGCCATGATACTGAGAAAGGCAAAAGAGCAAGTTTGCCAGGCAGTAGGTCTCACAATTTTTGTCTGTGAGTTCAGATCACTGCCGCTGCGCTTTTCCGCCTGGTCTTTACTTCACAAAAGAATTTAGCAGATAAGGAAAGCAGATTTGAGCTCAACGTTCTGAAGCGCGTATAGTATCATTTCGATTGCCCGGGTCGAATAATGACTTTTCCTGGTGCTTCTCGTAGAATACACCGAATGAGTTATACGCCTCCTACAACCCAATCCCCATGAAAGCAAACAGATACATCCATACTGCATTCCCCACGAGATACTGTCGTGAGTCGTATTCCACCTCGCAATGGCCTCAAAAAAATTCATTTGATCATTGGTGTTCTTGATGGTATCTGGTGCCACGAGGGTCACCAAGCCCACAAATTACGATAATCATGACGGCGAAAGATAGAGTGTACACACTTTTCTATACCGGACGATTTCGCATCCTTCAATAGCCTCATATGGAGCTGTTATCGGCAATCACGCGTACCACCATGACTTTACTTCCCAGTATCCTGGTAGGTGCCACAGCCAGCAACAGCCAGCACGAGCCATTACTCGCACGACAGAACCTCGACATCAAACTTCCAGCAGCCAATACTATCTCTATTCCCGGTTGGGTTCCCAAGACTTACCTCCCTCCTTTCCAGATCACCTCCATCTCATAACTACTTCTAACTTATTTCCCCGAAACCTCCGTGAAAGAGTACAAAAGGCTCGAATTTGATTCGCTGTGGCTGAATTAATTCTTATATCGTAGCATCTGCGTGATATATACACAAACTCGAGTGCCCGACAGGAGGCCCGTCGCGCGGCAAGAAGCAGAGTCAGCGGACGAGTCGCAGCGCGTGCTGTGCGATGTAGGACGTACAATGGTACATTCTATTCAACTTGACGCGAAATCACACAGTACGCGCTGCGACTCGTCCGCTGACTGTCTTCTTGCCGCGCGATTGGCCTATTGTTGGGTACCCACAAACTCGGTGTGACCTATGTGTCCTGCCAAATGTAGCATTGGGCTGAAAATGTGCCTCTTACCGTTTCCATATTATAGTATCAAGTCATGCTTTCATCGTTGAGCTGTAGAAAGAAGCTCACTACAACCACAACGGCAGTTCTTTAATAACTTCGTATTAATTTTCTCATAAATGGTCCTTCCAACTGCCGAAACCTCAATCTAGTTCCTTTTTCGGCTTGCGTTTGAATTTGATTTCCTACCGAAGTAGTGAATTTTCAGGAAGATATCTTTCAGCTCGAGCGCGGCCAACTCTGCGCACATGGACAACACAGCCACTCCTTACAATGGAAGAATTAACATTTTTAAGAATAGAGGAAAGTTTCTTCAACAGGAAATCCTTTTTTAACAAAAACTAGAGGTCGTGCCCAATAAAAGCGGACTGTTGGAAATGCCTCGGCGCGACCGTTCCTCAAATCCCTCAAATCAAGAACTTCAAGCACTCCAGCTCTTGAGCCGCAGAGGTGGCCACTAATTCTGCGGCTGCCGACAGGGTCAACCGTCACGTTCGAACATTTTCGGGATTTTTGCGACCCCCTGTTTTTGTTAATAAGAGTGCTAGACATGAATCCGTTGCGCCAGAAAGCGTCTGTGCCGCCGCAGACAGCGTCTGCATTGCTGCGTCAGCCTTGGAGCGCGGCAGGTATCACCCGGGCGCTGGAAGAACGGGACGCGGCGAAGAAAAAATTTTAGAGGGGAATAACTTTCTTGGGACGTATTTTTTGACTTGTTGAGGTAGATTTTGATTGTGCCTGAGGTGCGCTTCCAGAAAACTACAAGGATTGCCTAACTCTCCGGAAAGTACTTCTGTTAGAAGTGGAAAACCCAAAATTCTAAGAAGGCGCACCTTCAACTTTGAAGGCCCATAAAATCTTTCGTATGCGACATTTTGGAAATCTGTAAAAAGTTTCAGAAACTTCAAATATTTCTCTAACAAAACAGTATAAAAAGTTTAGTGATTGTCCCTTTTTCAAAAAATTGTCCCGTTCGAACATTTTTTCGTGCAAAAGCGAGTTTTTGGGCTTTCAGCGACCATAACTCACTTCATTTTCATTTCTGTGATGCACTTTTTTCATGGGGTGAAAGTACAGGATTTGCTCTTTCTAACAAGCCCAAACCGTTTTTCAAAGTTCATTTTTCGAGAAAATCACACGTTCGAACATTTTGGGGGGTTTTGCCGAACACTTTTTTTGAAATCGCGAGTTTTTGGGCTTTAAGCGGGCATAACTCACTTCATTTTCATTTCTGTGATGCACTTTTTCATGGGGTGAAAGTACAGGATTTGCTCTTTCTGACAAGCACCAAACCGTTTTTCAAAATCCATTTTCCGAGAAAATCACACGTTCGAACATTTTGTTCCCATAGGTTTTTGAGCAGCACATGCGAGTTTTTGAGCTTTCAGCAATAATAACTTCCTTCAAAGAACTTGTTGGGGAGGGCGAAGACATTTTTGAAGACTACGAGATTTCTGCTTTCTTATGTGTTTTACCGTTGTCTGGAAGAATCGTCCTCAGAAAATTAGGTCCCGAAGAACTTAATTTCAGCCCCGAGAAGTCAAACCTTTCATAGGGATGCATTCAACTGTTCTTATTCCTCAAGGAAAACACCGTAATTTGCCTAAAACTGTCTCTCTGTGCATAATAAATCGAATCTAATGCGGTCTGCACAAACAATTCTTGCCCTCGGATACGCCACGCACGCGCCTGTGGCTGGCAGTCCTCGAAATTGCGACCCCCTTCCGACCAAAATGCGACCCCTTCGTTCGAACAGTTCGAACGGACGGTTGACCCTGCTGCCGACCATTCTACCTCACGAATGCGAATGATTCCCCATAAAGCTAATCGTAGAATGCGATTTCAGATCCGATCGCTTAGTGTTTTGGCTAGCTCAAAATGTGTTCGCCAAGGAGGGAGTATTTAGAGACTCATTCATCCACATTAAATTAAAGGCGGACTTTACGATGAAAAAGCAGCCCATTGGAAACTAAGTTAGCGATAGTCAGTGATACAGAAAGAAAAAAAAAATAAAAACGCCTAGAAGCCCAAGAAATGGGACTGTTCCTGCCCGTTTAATTTTCCGCACACTTATGCGATTCTTCGACAGCGCGCTTGGCGGGAGTACTGTGCCGCATAGCGCCGCGAGAAAGGCCATGCAATAGCGGCGGAGGCGTATTTTTCGATGCGGAGGAGGTCTGCCTTGTCCTCCCTTTAGGTAAGTTTTGACCTTCGTCCTTACCGTAGAATCCTCCTTTATATGCTTTCAAATTGAGGTGCGGTGAAGGAATACCCTTCTAACCATGTCAGAACTTACCAAAAGTGACGAAGACGAATATGTAGATGAGAGTGAGAACATGGTTCAAATCACTCGGCATTTCGCTCATTGTCAGGTTGGCGACAAGATTGAAAGTGACGAAAAACGCTTCAAGGAATGTTGCTTTACCTCCTAAATTGTGTGCAAGATCACTGATAAACCGATGATGAATCAATGAGTCAAATGTAGCCCAAACGGCAGATAAAACGTTTGAAAGAAGAGCATGGTTTCAAGGTCTCACCTGCGGCGATGTAGGTAACTCCACCCATCATACAGAAGACAAGCAGAATACCGGCATTTATACTCAGCGGTAGTCGTTTCGCTGCCGGCGGTTTCTCCTTCTCCGAGCTTTCCTCCTCTCATTCATTCGCACTCTCTCTTTCATCGTCCTCTCCAGTGAAGAAGTTTTTCTTTTATTAACTTTGATACTTCTTCTTTCCCTGACAATGTCAATTTAATTACTGTATAGTCGAATCTCAGAGGTGAATTTTGCGAAAATATCCTACCAGGGCTTAGACGAAGGAAC